CATTTGGTAGATTACATCCTTACAAACAAATGCAAAATATGCTACAAAATAATTAAATACAAAACAATGATGTCAAAGTCCTCTTGACCTTTAAAATCATAGGTCTAACTTATCTGGGACTTTGATTGTCCTGTTTGACCTTCTCAGTGGCTTTTGATTTGGTGACTCAAGATTCTGACCATCTGGACTCTCTAGCTCAGGAAGTCTAGGATCTAAATCATTAATTCCAGAATTTACATTTTCTGTCTCTATACTACTTGGTTCACTCATATCAACAGAACTTGGTTGTGGAACAAACTGAGTTGGTGTGAACTGGTCAGATTTGGTGGGATTGACAGATTCACACTTGTTATCTGCACAAGTTATTTTTATCTGGTCTGCATGTATACGGACAATAAGTCGATTATTTGTTTTTACTTTATAAGACACAGGTTCTGTACATTGAACAATTTGACCTGGCATCCATTTTTCCCCTCTCCCATAATTTCTCAGATACACATTTTCATTAACTCCAAATTCTCTCTCAATGGATGTTTTGTCATGATTTACTTTTTGTGTATGTTGATGTTGGGAAACAGACCTTTGAACAGTTGGATGTAGTAGGTCAAGGTGAGTTTTAATTTTCCTACCACACACAATTCGCATGGTGCAACACCTGTTGTTATATGAGGAGTTGTGCGGTATTTGGCTAAGAACCTGTTTACTCTTTCCCTGAGAGAAAATTTGTTACCGGTACTCATTTTTACCATAGCGGTTTTGAATATGCCTACCGCTCTTTCAGCCAAACCATTCCCAGCAAGGTGATAGGGTGATGTGGTTATATGCTCAATACCATTTGCTACACAAAACAGTTTAAACTCATGAGCAGTGAAACTAGGCACATTATCTGAAACAATTTGATCAAGTAATCCATGAGTTGAAAATATTTCCATAAGTTCAATACTGGTATCACCTGCAGTAATTGTGTTCATGATTTTAACTTCTAACCACTTAGAATGTGAATCAATAACAATTAAGAACATTTTGTTCTTGAAGGATTCTCTTGCTTTGTTCACTGAAAATATACTCCCCCAGTCTAACTTAAGATCAACTAACCAGTTCCTACCTAGTAATGGTGGTCTATTTCCTTCAACCACAAGAAGAGGAAGTTTAACACTTTGACCATTATAGTTTACATGAACCATACACTCTCTTATCACCGGAACATTGTCACCTGTGTATGTTGTTAGGCACTTGTGACATGGTTGTAGAGGCACTGATCCTCCTGTGACAGCGTCAAAGTCCTTCTTTGTGATGACGGTTAGAGATGCTCCAGTGTCAAGTTGGAAGATGATGCTCTTACCGTTGATATAAACTGGTACGTTAATGGGAGCATGACTTGTTGACTTCACAGAGAACAGGTTGAACTCCGGCTGCAAATCAGTTTGAGCATTTTCACAGGTAGAGTGGTTCATTGGTTGGGTTAGTTTGTCTTGGTGAGAGTTAACATAGTGCTGCCTTTGGTTGCGGTACTGTCTTGACTGGCTAGATCTAGCAACAGACGAAGACTTTGCAAAGCAGGCCTTGGCAATGTGACCTTGCTTACTGCACTTATAACAAGTTGCTGACTTGACCTTGCATCGATGAGATGCATGGGGACCGTTGCATCGATGACATTTTTGATAATTATTACTAGATTTAGATCTAGGATTTGAACGTGCAGGCTGTTTAGCATAAGTTGAAATGCTCTGATGGGGTTGGTGTTTGTTGACTAACCTGCTGTCTACTGCATGGATCCCTGAGGGCGCCAGCGATCTGGCTGCATCGGATGACTGATGGAATGAAGTTGCAAGTTGTATTGCTTTTTCCAAAGTTAGATCTGACTCGAGAAGTAACTTTCTTTGAACATCAGGGTTCTTTACAAACTTTTCACACAGTCTGTCGGACAGCGTGTCCCCGAATTCACAGAATTCACTTAGATGACGTAAAGCAGCAACATATTCTGATATTGATTCGTTTGGTTGACGAGTCCTACCGTCAAATCTGGCTCTACACAGGAACTTTGATGGGGCAGGCGCATGGTGGTCTGTTAGCAGTTTGATCAGCTCTTTAAAGCTCTTGGTAGTTAGACTAGCTGGTGCGCATAAGTCCTTTAATAGCCTAAATTGTTGAGGCCCTATGACTGTTAACAAAACAGCTCTCTTTTTGGCTTCTATCGTCACGTCGTTAGCTTCAAGGTAAAAGCTTAACCTGTCTAGATAATCATGAATGATTTCATCATTCGAATTAAATTCTTTTATCTGGCCATACAGCGCCATTATCCTAGGAATACTTAGCCAATATGCTCTAGCAAGCTTCTTTTTAAGTAAGCATGTGCTCTTTTTCTGAGGATGATACCATCATCGTCGCCAAATGAAGTAGATTGATATTTTCTATTATGAAACACTGAAGATAGAAGCCATGTTGATTGTATATAGTCTTTAATCAGCCACCATGATGGAAACAGGAAGTCAGATGACATATATATATGAGGGACATCACTCCAAAACATTATAAATATAAGACTAATACAAGAAAAGTGAGTTCCCTTGACTTCACAATTCTCAATATATTACAATTATTTAGTTGATCCCAGCAAATAATGAGACATTCTGATCAGTTTTAGTTAATAGTTTTTTTAAATTTTAAAAATATGAGACAGGTACTCATTTGAGTTGATTCTTCTCGAATTTGAGCCTAGGAGTGCTCAGAACTTTTGGGTTAGCAGTCATGCGTTCTACAACCTATTGTAAACTCTTTACTTTTATTTTTTTAAAATCATAATAGGGCACAAACCGTCAGGTTTAATTAGATAAGATCGTATTTCTTCCGCGACTAAAATAGATTTATCTTGAGAATATTAGAAATCAAAAATGTATGGAACTAGCACTTTTGACGATTGTTGATAAGTGTGGGCGGCGTATGGGGATTAGAGATAAACATTAATGATCTATATCTGTGTGTAACAAACACAACTGCATGAACAATGTAAATATAAATACGGCAGACCCGTGTCATTTTAAACAAACTAGTAAAAGTAAAGTTCCCTTTTCAAACATGACGGTCTATATGGCAAGCAAAGTAGAGTTCTATTTTTCTGTGACCTCGGCATTTGGAGAGCTAGTGTGGTCAGCATTATGCTCAGCCGCCGCTACTTTCCCTAACGTGGGTTAGGTACCCATCAGAGTTGGGTGGACTCAGAAACGGTCTCGTTCTCCAGACTTACGGGTTAACAGTCCAGCTCTCGACCGCTAAACCACTATAACCTAATTCAATGGGCAAGAAAGAAACCCGGAATTTTTATAGCCTATGTTCATCCTCGTAACTTGCTTAACATAATTGCTTTTGGAACTAGTCATCGATATTGCTTCGTTGAGGAGGAGATACGACTTAAAGCTGCGGACACACATCCATCCATCCATCCATCCATTCATACATTCATACATTCATACATCCAGAAATGACGGGTTAATAAACGCAATTCTCCAGAATGGAAATTGCGCTAAAAACGCAATGTTATAAATGTTTAGTTAAAAATATGTAAAAAGATTGCAGTAAAATGATTTAAAATAATGTGAGTTTTAAAATTATTACAAAATAGCTCGCACAAATGTTTAGAATTAGTTTCATATATATTTTCAAACTAAGCACGTGCAAAGATTTCTTAAATTATCACAAAAACTGCTATTTCTACATCATTCTACATTTTTTGTATTGGTGATGTTCTTCAATGCTTTCTTCTTTTTTATGGTTTTCACAATTAATTTAATCAACTTATATGAAAGTTACATGCAGTTGTATCAGAACCCTTGATTATCACATGTTTCGAAAACTATCGGCTTAACACAGTTAATATGAAATCCCTCCGAATTATAATTTTCTATATCCAATAACTATATCCAATGATATCATGGCAGTGGCGTCGTTAGGTTGTGTGACACCTGGGCGGTAACACCTGGTGTCACCCCCCCTCAAGGAAAAAAGTTTAATATATATATATATATATATATATATATATATATATATATATATATATATATATATATATATATATATATATATAGTTAAGAGTAAAGTTGTTTACCAATATTCGATCATTAACATAGCTGGATGTAGCATTTTTTTCTCTTTAGTTATTTGGTTTATGTCATGGTGTCACCCCCCCCCCCCCCCCCCCACCCCCTCCATCCCCTGCCCCTTGACGGGATCGTCATTTTGTACCAATAATACTTTTTAACTAATTATTCATTCATTGAACTGGAGAAAAGCATACATATTTGTTCTATATATTTTGCAATTTTTTTTTCTGGTATCACCCCCCTCCTAATTGGTGTCACCCGGTGCGGTCCGCACCCCCAGCCCCCGCCTCGCGATTCCTCGGCTCTACGGCTATTCTGGGCGTTGTGTTCTCTTTAAACCACTGACTCCACGATGCTAAGAAAAGAGTCATGATGCAATCGTTCTACTATATTTAATAGCAGTAGGTAGCGTGATTACTAGTAGGAAGACTTACTAATAGTAGGTTCTTTAATCAATCATTTTATCACATAGGTCATTGCTTCACGTGAATATACCCCCACACCCAAGCCACTCTTCATTGTGGAAGTAGGTAGATCCACATCAATGTAAATGTTTGTTATTATATAGATCCAGAATACATCATTAAAAAAAATAAACTTGCACCTTTTGTTATTGTAATGTTTGTATGAGCGCATTAGGAAATAAAGAATAATGTATGTGAATATTTTTGCACTGTTATTATTTGAAATTTTCGTATTTACCTTCACATAAAGCGTAAAATATAATCATTCATTTTAAAATTTATGTAGAAAAGGTAAGATATAGGTTGCTGTGAATTTTGTAATTCCGGAAATTCCCGATATGTAGGTCCTTGCCGAATGCTATTTTTGGCAACCAGCTCAGTGTGACAAGTGTTTATATAGTTAGTGTTTTAAAATATCCGGAAATTTTTTTTTATCCAGAAAGTTCAGATAAAGACAACATATGTTAAGTACAAAAACTGACATATTTTATTTTGGGTCTGAATAATAGATAGTACTGCCGTTAGATAATTTTAAAGTTAGATAATTCTGTGATTAGATAATTCCTTCGTTAGAAAACAGGACAGGATAAGATTACGAAGTCCTTCAATCTGACACAGTCAAGAAAGATAAGGTAAGGAGTTTATTGACCCTTTTAAAGTATTATTTCTAATTTCTAGTTATTAAGGTAAATCAGCAAGAACAAAGAATACAGTGTTAAATATTTTTATACATTTAAGCAAAAAAAAAATCCGTCTGTATTAATTCATTTCACTCAGTAGCGTCCAAAATATTTATGTAAGAGGTGTAAGCTACACAGAAGGCGCGGAAGCGTTGAATAATAAAAGTTGGAATTGATTAGTGCTTAGTTCTATGCATGAATAACATCACTAGTATTAGAAATATTTTGATTCATCCCTTATATCTTAACAAACTTACACCATGACAACAAATTGAACACGGGGAAGCAGGGGCAGGTGGCAAAGCACTCAACTGCTAACCGGAGAGTCGTGAGTTCGTATCTCGGTATGGATTGCAAGAATTTCATTATTTTCACCTAACCCTGATGAGTAAGTTCCTGAATCGCGTTAATTAAAGTAAATGAGGCTGGATTTACGGCTGACTAGTCCATACGGTATATGTGAGGTCAAGAATCATAAACTCTACTCCATCTGCCCTCTAGGCCTGAAAGAATAACTTCACTTTTCAGTACAAAAATTGTGGAAAGAAAACCCACATTTTGTCCATGTTTCTGTTGTATTTTTTATATAAGCTACAATACGATGCTAGAAATGTTTCTCAGAAAAGCACTTGAAAGAAAAGGAAGTGTGTGTGTGGGGGGGGGGCGCTTTAATTTCAGGGGGAGGTGGAGATTGATAACGTATTTATTTTCTTCCGGGATGGCTGTGGACTTCGCTGGAAGGCAGGAGAGGTAGAGCAGTGTCTCCCTCCCTCAAAGAGACCCCTGGCAGAAACTCTGACCACCTCTCCTCACAAGATAGACGTGAAGTATTTATAATGTCCGCCTAATTTTTTACAGAAAACTTTCGATTCTTTTAAAATTAAAGGTGAGCTGCAAAACTCAAAAATAAATAAATAAAAAATTAACATCTGACTCTTTGCAAGGGGCCAAAACTCTATTGAGAACTACGGCTCGAGTTCTAAATAAATAAACATTGTTGTCTCCCTAATGAAAGCTCTGTATGTTATAGGAAAGGTAAATCATGCTGTCCCCAATTCTTGAACACTGTTAAAATGGTAAAACAATTACTAGTATTAGGCCAGTCACATTTAAAAGGGAATTTCGACAAAAAGCAAATTCGTTGTTAAAACCAAACTATGAGCGTTCCAATTATCATTTGCTTTACGTGTTTGGTATCTTATCTGATTACCTAGCAAAAAGAAATGTGTCGTTATAAAAATAATTATTTTAGTAGCGGTATCATGTTTTTTGAATAAAAATTGATTCTATACAAAAACATTTTCAAATAAGTCAAAATATATGCAAACAGAAATGTAATCTGGATTTATTAGTTCCAAAAGTAATTTATTATTTTGCTTTATTTTCTAGACATCTGGACTTGAAGTTTATCCCTGGTGTGTGTGTGTGGTGAAAGTTTGTGCCTGCATATCATCATATTTAATTAACCCTCTGCATATCATCAGTCAGTACTTAACATTGAATGGACAGCTGGTTTGTGGGTAAGTGCGTCTAAGGCAACTTTTCCTTCTCTGCCATACAAAAAACAACATCGTATTTGTAACCGCCGTTGTGATTTCAAATCTTGGTTGTAAAAAGCCAATGTTAACTTTTGTCATTAGCTGCTTTGTTAACATGACTCGTTTTTTTTTAAAAACTTTATTTGACTTTTAGATGGTTTTAAGTTTTTCTGGTATCAGTCTGACTTGTTTGTATGTAATGAAGCTAACTTTGTTATGCCAACCATTTAGCGTATCTTCTGGCCATCAAATTGAAATATTCTAATCTTGTGTTTAAAATTCTTACGATTGTCGTGTATTGCCGGTTTAAAATAATTCATTGCCTTCGGTATTTATTGCAAACAGCATATTAAACATTTATGCAATAATTTTTTACCAATTAATGCTGCCACTCAAACGAATATAATTATTGACCAGGTACCCACGAAACCCAGGAATGTTTTGAAGACGACGACAAACTAACCTACTACCCAAACTGCAAGAAAAAACAAGGCCACGACCTATTTCTCCCAGCCCGCGACCTGACCCCATCGTGTCTGCCCCAGCGTTACCATGGCAACGTGTACGAGGTCGTCAGGTACACTGCCCAGCTAACCGTCATGGTGGTGACGTACGTCATTAGCCCGGGCCGGATAAATACGCACCCCAGGACGGGGCGGCCGTACCCCTACTCCAACTTAACTATCAAGAAACTTTCCAGAAAAGGCAGCGGTAGAATCTACAAAATCAAGAAAATAACGGAGGAAGACAACCAGCCTTGCCCGTGTGGGATGTGTATCCAATCTGGCAAGCCTGTCATGACGTGGGGAGAGATTCGAATCGTGACGGCCACACATTTAGTGTTTGACGATTACGAGGCTCAGAATACAGTGTGTCGTTTCGGTTACGATCAGGAAGACAGTCCGATAATTTTATTGACCGGGGTTGGGTTGGAGTCAGCTGACGTTGACGCGGACAGGTGTAAGTTAATCTGCGTCACGCATGACGTGAATCTGGTAGAAGAGTTAGAAGTGACGTGGGGGAGGTACTACGACCTGGTGAGGTCAGTCAGGGATGAGTTTAAGGATATTAGGGATGAGGATAAAGTGACAGTGGTCGTGTCCCATCCCCACGGGGGACCGAAGATGGTGACGGTGGGGGAGTGGGTGTACCGTGAGGATGGTGAGGGTAGGACGTGTCGGTACTGTTACACGGCCAGCACCTGCCCAGGGTCAAGTGGGGCGTGCGTCTACGTGGTGGGGAGGGAGGGGTGGTACTACGCTCACGTGCATAGTGGGACAGGTGGTAAAGGGAATTTTAGTGGGTATGGTGTGGATTATTAGCATTCGTTGATTATTAGCGCGTGGATTATCTGGATGTGTGGATTATCAGTTTTTGGAGGAGCATTTTTAGGGTATTGTTATGAAATAGTGGGATATTGATGATTAAAAGAATAAGACCCGCAAGTGAATGTTCAATTATTATACATGTGAATTATACAGATTTAAGAAACACTATGTAATAATGTAAGTAAAGATTCCTCTTTAAACATAGCGATCCATTGGGCAGATGAAGTAGAGTTCATGTTTCTTTACTTCAGCATAAGGGATGGAGTAATAAGCACTTGCCCAGCCGCCTTTACTTTTCCCAAACATAAGTTAGGTACCCATCAGAGCTGAGTGGACTCAAGAATGTCCTACAGTCACAAGTTTGAACAGAGATTCGAACTCGAGACCTTCGGCCATAAGCTCTATAATTCAACTGCGTCGTCCCATAAGTAATTATGTATATAATGTATAAATAAACATGTTTGTGTGTTTGTGTGAGTGTGTGATAGTGCGCGCAGAACCATCATATTTTGACAATTAATAAAGATATGGTACCAAAATAAAATGTAATTAATTTAATTGTCAAATATCTACATTTGCATTTATTAATCATATACTGAATAGAGCTATTTTGTATTTTTGAAATTACAAGAATTTGGAATCTTAGCAATAAAAATATATACGTGTAAAAATTGATTATAATCCCTAGTATTGTCTCATAATTTTAATTTTACAGTAATACAGAATAAGGTCTTTACATTCATATTAGCGTCGACTTTAGCTCATCGATACCAACAATGAAAAAAGAGGCAACTCACACTTCTTTATTATAAAACAGTTGTGGTTAAAAGCATTTAAGCTAAGGGAGGTAACTAAAGAAATACTTTTTTTTAAGCTAATATCTTATTTTCTTAAATATTATACATTGACTAAATCGAACACGGGTCTTTTTCCAGCGCCCCGATAGTACTTTGTGCGCCCAGAGTTCCCCCTGCAGTAACTTTAGACCGTGGGGTCCTTTGATTAGGAGGACAAAACAGAAGGCAATGAATACTACTTGATGCAATTGTGTAACTATATCAGTGGCGGCCTTGAGCGTCCCGCGGTCGAGTGACCTGGAGCAGTCCGGCGTCAATATTATCACTATAGCAACTACATAGGTTTAAACAGCACGCTACATTCTGTTAAATAGTAGCTTTTAAAAACCCAGTGATCCATTTAATACAGGCTTGAGAAGCAATGTTTTTTTTTTCAGGTAAGGGTTTCTTGAAAATCTATATATATAATTCTCTTCTGGGAGCCGTTAGAAAACAAGCTGCAAGCGCCTCCTTGCAGTCCCCTCTTTTTCTCTCTATCACTATCACTACCACCCCCACCCCACCCCACATTGTCTGGTGAGCTATGGTCACGCTAAATGTTTACAAAGCTAAATGTTTACAAATCGTAGAGCCGGGTTTCTATTAGGGGCAGATAATTTAGTTCGATTTTAAACTTACAGGAGGTAACGAAGAAATAACAAAGAGGAGGCTGCTTTCACGGGGGGGGGGGGGGGGGGTAGGGTCAGGGTTAGGGGAACGGGGGGGGGGGTTAGTGTTTTAAAGCAAATATTTTCAGTGGCAGCATTGGTACTGTCGAATTCACAAATTATGAATTACTGAAAAGTATAAAATAAAACAACTAAATGGCGGCGTATGATACGCTGCGGGTCGGCTCGTGAAATATAAAGTAAGAATGTTGTTCGTTTTCTTGGAAAATTTTTCTCTTTAGATATTGTTCGATGTGAGCTTGCATTATAAATTTGGGTATTTAACGTGGGTACATCACAAACACTAAGTTAAACCACTATACGTCTGTTCTCACAAAGACTTTATCTCGTCAACACGACCTCAAGCGTTGACTATCCGCCTAGTGTGATATGTATTGTGTATTGGTCAAATCATGTGACACGCATTTTTAGCGCAATTTCCATACTGGAATTGCGATTATTAATTCGTCATTTCTGGATGTGTGTCCGCAGCTTTACCGCAGCTTTAAGTCGTATCTCCTCCTCAATGAAGCAATATCGAGGACTAGTTCCAAAAGCAATATGTTAAGCAAGTTCCGAGGATGATTGTGGGCCAAAAAAATTCCCGAACGTGACCGAACGAAAGGATATTTTTGAAAACTTTCTTTGGCAATATTGTTCTAAATTATGACAGGAATCGATTGGTATATGTTTCAAGCCGCTAAGTGGTCTGGTTGCCGAGATATGGGCTAAAAACTGCATTTTTTCGAGGTTTTTTGGCTTTTCCGGGAAATCTATGAAGGAATTTCGGGATTTTTTTTTGGCTGCGGACACACATCCACACATCCATCCAGAAATGACGCATTATTAAACGCAATTGCCAGTATGGAAATTGCGCTAAAAATGCGTTAGTGCATAACAAAAAGGAATACAAATATATCATTTCCTCCTAGTTAAGGAGTCAAGAACTAAAATTTTCTTAATTATCAAGGAACTGATCATTTTGACTTTGACGATAATACAACCTGAAGAATATATAGATAATCATTATCAATAGATCATGGGCAAAAAAAGTCCAAAGTTTTAACAGAACTTTCTTAAATAATTTCAGATATACATACGCATGGCGAAAAAAAAAGATACATGTACGAACTTAGTAGTAATAAAATGTCACCTGCATTGGCACAGCCTAACTTTAACACGCACAATAGTAGAAACATTGGGGAAATAACGCCAACTTAAAAGATTTCTAAATAAAATGTCATGACTAAGCTAGGCATCTCTAAGTGTCTTTTGTTTACTTGTAGTTTTTCTTTTTTAATTAAATAGCTTCCAATTTCGGGTGTGAAGTTTTATCAAATTACACAGATCATAAACACTTCTTTATATTTTTGTTTTGTTATAAACAATGTGAGGATTATTATGTTATATATTTTTAGCCTGAAACGTGACTGTGTTCACTGTAGCGTTCGTTCTACTTGAGACATCAAGCAACACATTAACTTTCGTGGAAAATTATCAACTTTTTTCTCGAACAAGTGATATCAGGCCAAAATATATTAGGACAAATGGTATCATGAGCATAAGATCTCAGACAAAATATCTCACAGAAAAATATTATAAACACACACACATATATAGCCTACATATATATATATATATATATATATATATATATATATATATATATATATATATATATATATATATATATATATATATGATTTTTGTTTAAATAAGGATTTGATTTATATCAAATTTAATAAAATCTGTGTTTTTATCATAGAAATTACAAAATTGATTCGCAGGTGTGGTATTTTACATCTGCCATAAGGCTCCCGTAGCTTCGGAATGCTGTGACCCACTTAGCTTGCACACCGTTTTCTATTACAACCCATGTGAACAAAAGCGTTGTTTTCTTGAAAAGGGAATCAAGCGTCATGTACTTTATTAAAGTGAAGTAGATTTTGTCACGCTGTCTGCTAACAACATCTTACTAAGGTGGGTACTTGCTGATAAGTTACAGAGGAATGTCTCTTTGACCAACTCTGTAGTTCACTCTCCTTCCAAATCAAAACTATAGCCATTGCAATAGTCAAGTGCCCAAAAACTGACCTATACTGACCACGGTCTTATAGAAACTATATATTTTTATGGTTCATGTAAACCAGTGGTTCCAAAACCTTTTCAAGTGGCGACCACCATTTATAAAAATTTCGTGACCCGCGACCCCCATAGGATTAAAAAGAATTAATAAGGAAATTAATAAGCAATAAAATAAGATTTTCTTGTAGACTTTCAATATGAATTACTCTTTCAGGAGGGGGGGACGACGACGACGACACTGTTAAAAGTATATATTTTCTACATAAATTCCATTTCTTTCCAGGTGGGGGGGTGGGGGGGGAGCTGAGCCGCCCCCCCCCCCCCTCATCCCCCGAAACTTGATTTCATCTTTTGATTGAAAAACACGATTCAATACAGTTCGTTTGACAGTCAGCGTCCTGTATTGTAGAGAAGCAGAGCCTCGTGATCTTTATTAATGTCGTTTTAGTTCTTTAAGTACTTACTTACTTACTTACTTAGTCCTCTTTGCTCCTTATGGAGCATAGGGCCTCCACCATTTCCTTCCATTTCTTCCTATCCTCGGCTATTAATTTTGACATCTCCCAAGACATCCCTATTGGCTTCAGTTCTTCAAGAAGACTCCGCCTCCAGGTCTGTCTTGGGCGCCCTCTCTTCCGCTTTCCCTGGGGGTTCCACTCAAGCGCTTGGCGTGTAACATTTGTGTGAGCCTTTTGCAGTGTGTGACCCACCCAGCGCCACTTCCTCCTTCTTATTTGCACACCTATAGGCTCCTGCCTAGCTTTCCTCCATAGTTCCAAGTTTGGCACTTTGTCCTGCCATCTCAGCTTCAGTATCTGTCTAAGGCATCTATTCATGAAGGTCTGTATCTTTGCTGTGCTTGCCTTGGAGACTCTCCATGTCTCTGCTCCATACAGTAGAACTGCCTTGACATTAGAGTTAAATATCCTAATTTTTGTGGTAATGGAGATGGCCGAACTTTTCCATATGGGTCGCAGGACTGTGAAAGCGCAGCGGGCTTTATTAACTCTAGCGCGTATGTCCTCCTCTGTGCCTCCCGTTTTGCTGATCTTGCTGCCAAGGTAGACAAACTCTTGCACATCATTTACCTGTCTTCCGTCTATTGACACTGGAGCCTCCTGTTTATTGTTAATTCTCATCATTTCCGTCTTTTCTTTGTTGATCTTCAGACCTACGCGCTGCGAGATGGCTCCTAATGCATCAACTTTTTCTTGCATGTCCTGTAGCCTGTGCGAGAGTAAGGCAAGATCATCTGCAAACTCCAGATCTTCTAGTTTCCCCGTGAGTGTCCACTGAATACCTTTTCCAGAACTGGCATAGGCTGTGCGTGTCACCTAGTCGAGAACTACCAAGAAGAGGAGGGGCGACAGCAGACATCCTTGTCTCACACCTGTGTTGACCTGGAACTCTTTAGACAGTTTCCCTGCATGGCTAACTTGGCATGAAAATCCATTGTAAATTTGCTGGATTATTTCCACTAACTTAGCAGGTACACCATAGTGTCTCAACAGATTCCATATTGTTTGCCTATCCACACTATCAAAGGCCTTCTCAAAGTCAACAAAGCAGATGTAAAGCGGGGCTTGCCATTCTATCGTCTGTTCTACAATAATTCTAAGAGTGGCTATCTGATCTGTACAAGATCTTTCCTTCCTGAATCCTGCTTGTTCCTCTCTTAGCTTAAGGTCAACCGCCTCTTTCATTCTGTCCAAAATAACTCTGGTAAGGACTTTACTTGGTATGGACAACAGGGTAATGCCCCTCCATTTTCCACACTGAGATAAGTCACCGTTCTTAGGCAACTTCACAAGGAGGCCCCTTTTCCAATCGGTTGGGATCTGTCCTGTGTTCCAGACTAAGTTAAGTAATTTATGAAGTCGATTTACTACTTCTTCCCCACCTTGTTTTAATGCCTCTGCTGGGATATTATCTGGTCCTGCTGCCTTGCCACTCTTCAAACTATTTAAGGCGTTGAGAATTTCCTGTCTGGTGATTTCCTCGGTATTGATGTTAAGGGGTTCCCCTGGCTCCAGGTCTGGTGGATCTTGAGGTGCTGGACCGTTTAGTACTTCCTGGAAGTGCTCTCTCCATCGTGCCAATTGTTCCTCAATTGACGTTAGAAGTTTACCATTTTTGCTCCTCACTGGCCTGTTGGTATTGGTTTTCCTCCCACTCAGAGCTCTGGTTGTTGCATAGAGCGTCTTGAGATCTCCCTTACTGGCAGCTGTTTCGGCCTGCTCTGCCATTTCATTTATAAACAATCTCTTGTCATTTCTTAGTTTCCTTTTCACCTCTTTAGCCTTTTCGTTATATCGAGCGGCTGCTGCTTGTTTTTGCTGCCGTGTTTTTGCTTGATTTAGTTCGCTCTTTAGGCTTTTTCTTTCTTCCACCTTCTGCCATGTATCATCTGTGATCCAGGGCTTCCTGTTGGGCGCTCTACCTCCTAGAGCCTCTTCGCAAGCTTCAATAGTGGCTTGCTTAAATATTTCCCAGGTGTGTTCAACTGAATCAAGATCTTTCTCTTCTGTCTGTAGAGCTTCAAACCGATTCTTTAGGGTGACCTGAAAATTTGTCCTGTTGTCTTGCGTCTTAAGTTTACTTACATCAAATCTTCTTCGTGGATCAATTTCATGTTGCCTCTTCTTTGCCTTTAGCTTCATCTTCAGTTTAGCAACAACCAGGTGGTGGTCGGATCCTATGTCTGCTCCTCGCTTTGCTCTCACATCCTGCAGTGAGGCCCTCCAACGACGCCTTACCGCGACATGATCAATCTGGTTTTCGGTATGATGATCTGGTGATATCCAGGTGGCTTTATGACACCTTCGGTGGGTGAAAAGTGTACCGCCGATAGTAAGCTCATTTGAGGCACAAAAGTCTGCGAAGAGTTCACCATTTTCATTCATTTCCCCTAGGCCATTGGTTCCCATCTCCATTTCCCTGCCTCTGTTGTCTTTGCCTACTTTGGCATTTAAATCACCCATGAGGATCAGCATGTCGCGCTTGGGTACCTTATCAACCACCGACTGAAGCTCTTCGTAGAAACGGTCTTTTTCTTCCTCGTCTGCGTTGTTCGTAGGAGCGTAGCACATGATAATGGAGGTCTTTTGAAACCTGGATTCAAATCTAGCTTTAATTATTCGATCAGATACAGGTTCCCATTCCATCAGGCTTTTTGTTGCCTCCTTTGTCAATAGCAAGGCTACGCCTGCCTCTCGTGGGTCGTCCTCATTTTCTTTTCCCGAGTATAACAGTGTTTCTCCCGTCTGGAATTTTGTCTCTCCAAAGGTGTTCCATCTTGTTTCGCACAGGCCAAGCACTGTAAGATGATACTGTTGCATTTCTTTCACTGCCTGTGCACACTTCCCTGCTTCCCATAGTGTTCTGACGTTCCATGTTCCTATGAGGATAGGTTTCTTTTGCGACAGTAGTTTTGGGGCTGTGGATTTAGTTTTCCTCGGTTGAAGAAGGGGGGTCGGCTCTGTAGCTTCCTTACGGATTTGGCTGCATTGCGTCATACTTCTCCTAAGTGGAGCCCTGATTCTCCCGAGGACTGGATTTGTTTCGGATTTGGCTTTAGTTTCTGTAACTGTCTTTTGTTTTATGTGGACGAGTAGTTAGCCCATCGCACAACCCCCAACCTGGAGGACCAGGGCACATCGTTTGGTCTGGCCCCTACCCACGCAGATCTGTCCGACTTGGTTAAACCTGCCAGGAGCACTAGGCTCCCGCCGGCATAGCTCTGGGGGTCGCTGGGGCACACAAGCCATCCCACCACTTCAAGGCGGTGTGAGTTCTTTAAGTGCTCCAGATTTAATATAATTTACGACTTTTAATAGCAATAGAGTCGGAAGAGTCTTGCTGGCAAGGACATACCCGTGAAGCATGCAGTAGATTCCAGTTGGTTAGGGAGCTAAATCTTTTACTGTTATCTGAAAGCCCGATCAGAGTTTCTTCCAGGCATCTCTTCGGGGGTTGCCCCCCCCCCCGAAAAATTTCTACCCCCCCCCCCCCCCCCCCGAACGAAATTAAATTTATATCATGTATATAGAAAATATATACTTTTAACAGTGTCCGCCCCCCAGAAGAAAGTCTACCGTCCCCCCCAAAATTTCAAGTGCCCCCCCCCGGAGAAAAAAGTCTGGAAGAAACACTGAGCCCGATTTTGACCAAAATATAGATGGCGCACCATCCGTACAAACCCCCACAGCCGTTTTAACCCATTTTAACCACCCAGTTTTTTTTAAAAAAAGGTATTTATTTTCTCCATGACATCTTCACAAAATAGTAACTCTTTTTTGCTATCTTCTGAATGAATATATTTCACAAAGACAAGCAACTGCGAACACGAACTCACGTCTGTTGATTTAATTCAAAATGTGTTCCTTAACATCTACGGACATGTCTGCTATACGCCGCTGAATAGTATTATAAAACAGAGATATTTGTTGCATCTTTACTGCACTGGAATTCCCAAAAATTAATTTCACCATCTTCAACATGCATGGTTTGATAAGAATTTCTCCTATTGTGTTTTTTTTTGCTTGGCAATTTCTATCGCGACTTCATTTGATGCTTGCACTAATGCTGTGTTTCCTTGGTAAAAGCTTCCTGTTCGAATAGATCTCTGACGTTTGCAACTAGCTTCACGCCGACGAAAGAACTCCATATCTTTTTTTTTGTGTCTTTCGAATGACTCGTCATAAAATGAGGTTTTAGTTTTGAAGTTTTCATAGACTCATGACGCGGAACAACTTTACACAGTACGCATTGTTTATTCAATTTCCAGTGATATTAGTAAAGCCAAATTTCAGATATTCTCGTAAATATTTAAGTTTTGTTTATCATTTGTTTATCAGTCTGCCAGTTGGCGACCCCCCAGAAAGCTCTTCGAGACCCCCAGGATTGTCGTGACCCCCAGTTTGGGAACCCGTGATGGTAAACAAAGCAAATACGTGACTAGCGAAAAAAGCGTGCGTTAGGGTGCAAATGCTTGTAGGTCTCGGTCTCTCTTGCTTAAAATTCAAAATCTCGCTGGCTAGCGAGAGATACACATTTTCGAACTAAATTAATTGCTAACAGAAATGAATGGAACTTGTTAATTTCTAGTCATCGCTTCAAGATTTTGAAACAAAAACAAGAGTACCCAAAATGCAACAAATATAAATGCTTATTACTTTTATCAGAATCAAATAAAGTACATAAAGGCTAGTCTATTAATATTATAGTAATATTATAACAGGTTATACGGATTCGAATAAATAATAACAAACTGTACACTTCTTTTAAAAAACGACAATTTAAAATAGGCTTTTTTTTTCTTTAAGCGTGCAACTTTATGCACTCTATCATTATTATTGATCAGTAGATTTTAATTTTAAATATCTCAAAAATAGCGGAGGTAATTTTGTTTTGTTACCGATTTAATAAAAAATTATTCACGAGAAGCTCCATTGTGTGCATTTTCTGAGTCACACAATCGATTTACTTTTAAACAATATATTGCAAAGATATTTTATTTTAAAATAGCAGTTAAACAGTTAAATAGCTACAACAAAAAATAAATGAATAAAAGTGAAATGCAAACAGCAACTAGACTATTGTTTAAATACAGATTTGAAATTATAAATCTTCATTAAACTTGTAAGTAGACGTTTGAAATTTTAAAACCTATTATATTAATTGTATTGTGCGATATACAGCGAAACATTACCGTTATAGTTTTTAATCTCCATATGGTAAAGTATCAAATTTGGGTCGTGGTTTGTAATGTTTTCTTGGAAAATAATGAAGAATTTATACAATATTTAACGTGTAATTTTTACCGTATCTTGTTCTATATTATATCCAGTGAATTACACATACCAAGTGTACCACAAATACCAATCATTAAATTGTTTTAATTATATAAGTATCGATGTAGATTTCGTAAACTAAATGCACAAAAATAACAACAAAAGTTAGTAAAATAACGAAAACAATGCCTTATGTTTTTGGTAGACATCATTAACAAGACAATGATAAAAAGGAGGTAACAAAAAAAAAACCAGAAAAAAAACAACTACTGTATAGCTAGTGTACGAGAATTTCCAAAAAAAAAAAAACACGACGGGGAAGCCCCTAACAACACCCATGTCACCTGACTACCTGTGCTATAAAACCTTGATCCGACTACAATGATGTGCATATCTTCTTTCAGCTGCAAGGCAGTGCCTAAAAACGTGTTCATTTTATGTTCGAAGGTTATAAGGTTATAAGTGAATTTGGTTAATATATCACCAACTGGCGGTAAGTTTTATATATGTGCTTTATATATATATATATATATATATATATATATATATATATATATATATATATATATATATATATATATATATATATATATATATATATATATATATACAACCCAAGTGAACATAAGCTCCGTTTTCTTGAATAGGAATTAAGCGTCATGTACTTAAATATTGAGCTGAAGTTAAATGATTGTTTGCTTATTGTAGATTTATTAATTTTATTTTCAGAATTCTGATATTTGAAATGGCTTCTGATCGTCTTATTGATATTGATGTAATAATTTTTGGAAAAACTGGTAATGGTAAAAGTTCAACAGGCAATGCCATTTTAGGGGAAAAAGGATTTGAAGCTAGTGATAGTGCAAAACCTCATACGCTGGCTTCAGCCTACAAGATCGTCATCCACGGAAATAAGAGAATCAAAATCGCAGACACACCAGGACTACAGAATAGAAATACTGCGGAGGAGATAGAAAACATATCCGAACAACTCCCTATGGCAATGAGCTTTTTCCCTAACGGTATACACGTAATGCTTCTTGTCGTTAAGTATGGAAATCGCTTTACAGAAGAAGAAATAAATACAGTTGAGATTTTGAAAGCTTGCTTTGGTGAAGATTTTTTAAGAGATCGCGTCATAATAGTAGTAACGTTTGGCGATAACTTTGATACGGAACACGAAGAGGACAATCTTTCATTCGACTCGTGGTGGAGGCAACCAAGTGGTGAATTCAAAAAATTAATAGATGAATGCAATGAGAGAATCGTCCTGTTTTATAACAATGGGAGACAATATCAGGACAAGAGAGAACAAGCTGTTGCAAAGCTTTTGGAAATGATTACAAATTTGATGGTAAAAAGTGAGAACATACGATACACTAATGATGACTTCACAAAATGCTTTTTGGAAAGAAAACGGCTTCTTTTGGAGCTTAAGCTGCCTCAGCTCTGCATGATGTTTCGAGATAAAATAATAGAATTAGAAGGAAAAATAAAAATACATTACAAAGAAAACACAATGAGTAAAGAAGAACAAACTGAACTTATAGACCAGTGCGCAGAATTGTTAAAAGAAATACACGAGGAATCTAAAGGTACTGATTCATTTGATGATTTTAAAAAAAAAGTCGAAGAACTACACAAGGAAATAAAAAAAATAGACACAAAAAATCCCATCAGAGAACAACTGACACAATCAGTGAACATTATGCAAAATTTAATCAACCCACCCGTTTCGTTTGCCAACGTTATGAGAATAATTGCTGGCGTGTCGATAGCTTCAGCATTCGGTGCAGCTGCAGTTGCTTTTTTTAGTCCCGCCATCGTGCTAGGTGCAGTCGGTGTTGCTGTTGCTGATACAGTGATGGCTGCAGGTACTGCTGGTATAGCTACTGCAGCGCTATCAGCAGTAGGTGCAGCTGGAGTTACGGCTGTTGCGGGAATGACAGCATTAGGTTTGACATCAGGAAGGGCGGGTAAAACCACAGACAACAATACAAGGGAAGAGGAAACAGATTCTATTACAGGTAAAATGAATATTTTTCAATTACTGTGTATATGTGCGTGTGATTGTATTACGATGGTTTTCAGAAAATTACTAAACACTTAACATACCGTATAAATTACGTATTTTTCTGCAATCGCGTCTTTCAACTAAACTAATACATTAAATATTTTTATTTACTATTGAGTGAAACATGAAGTTTATTGCCTTTTTACTTTTTCTTATACAGAGTACAGCGGAAGTATTGTAATTGTGCGAAATATAGAAATCGAGATTTTCACAACTTTTGATGTTTCTGAAAACCGTTTCAGATATGTTGATGAGCTTTTATTTTATTTAATTTGTAGAGATGAACGAAATTTTATATTTAAGTATAAACTCCTGTATGTATATTTCTGTCAGCTTGTGAGCGATTTCCAATAACTGGAAGTGTATTACCCTATTTTCGATTTCCCAAATCCTTCAGAATTCGATACTTACATAATGTTTTCTAAATCATTCCCTAAGATCTTTGTTTTCTCTATAAATGAGCAGTTTTGTCACACACTTCTATATTGCTATTTTTCACTTATAGTGACATCCTAGTGGGTAATAAAATAGTAGACGAGAAAGTCTAAACAACTATATTGTCTATTTATTAAATATATTAAAAATAAGATTGAATTTGCTAAATTTAAACCTAGCTAGTGTTCTTTCCGGCTTTGAATTAATGTTATTGTTACATTTTACCCTAAATTAAATATTTACCTAAATTGAATTTTATTTGATGAGACCACGGACGACACATTCAAAGTTACGGTTAGGGTCAGGTTTAATTTAAAAATCATTTGCCAGTTTGCACCACATTGAATCTTAGAAACAAAAATTTTTATTTACTTCTCATTAATTTTACATCATGTCATAAATAACTTAAAAGTAATGTATTATTTTTAATTTTATAATTAAATTTGCATATTTTTTTTAATTTATTAAGCTCAAGATGCCATTGAAGACAACAAGAAACAGCTGTAAGACTCTTTATTCTGCAAATCACATGTTTCTAATAAAGAATTAAGATTCTTTTTTTTTAAAATCCAGACAGGAAGTATTTTGTTAATTCATTTCATTTTTACTAGATACACATATTTTTTTTTAAGTTAACATAAACACATGTTTTGATTTTAATACATTTGCTTTCTTCCATCTATAATAACTATTTTCCTTTTTGAACATCTGTAATGCTACTTTTATTTTGTAACTGTCTAAATTGCTTAATAAATTTAGAAGGGAAACAATGTAGCAGAACATTTTTTAAAACAGGCTTAGCGTGCACTTTGAAAATGTATATTTTCTTCATTAATTTTTTTCTTACATTAGTCCAGTAATCACTTTGAATAGATTTAAGTTGTTTCATATTATTTAAAAAAAGAATCAAGATCAATAAAGCTACAAACCAATAACCATGTGGAATAAGCATTGATCGATTTTGTTCGATTGTGTTCTATCCCGTTTTTTCTTTATCATTCTAATTAACATAATCATTACCAAAAAGGGGTTGGCGTTGTCGAGTCGGTAAAGCTCATGTTTGCTAAACCGAAAAGTCTCGAGTTCGAACCCTCGGGCAAATGAGGCTCGTTAGCTGGGGACATCCACTCTACTAGGAGAGACAACTCCAAAATCAAACAACTGCTGCCTTGGCTGCCTTGTTCTTGGTCGGACAAAGGCTATGGAAGCAAATCCAAAGAGAAAAGCAGGCTGAAATCGGAGTCAATGGCATGGTGGAGTCGGCAAAAAACTCATGGTTGATAAATTCGAAAAAGTTTCGAGTTCAAACACTCTGGCAGATAAGGCTCGTTCCCTTCCAACACTAAAAATTAAGAACGAAGAAGAAGAAAGATTACCAACTACTTTTTGATAACAAGCTTTAATGTAATAATGCACTATTATTGATGTAATTAATAGTATCATCTCCCCTGAGTCACATGTATGTGGAGGGATCGATGTTTTTGTTTTTTAAATTCTTGTGCTGCGCCATTTTCATATCTTGCTGTATCGGTAGTTCACAATCGTTCTGCACAGATCTCACACGTGTTCCTGATTTCCCTTTGTTTTACCTTATTCTTCAAATTTTCAACCCCAAATATTTTTCATTGGCACCTTCAATAGTCAGGTAAATGTGTTTAAATTCTAGTTCTTCAATTTTAACAAGTTGTCTTTGTATTAGATCGATGTTTACAATTGGACTTTTGAATATCGTCAGGGCACACGGTCATTTTTTTAGGATTTCTTGGAAATGGCAGATTTTTTTATGTGCAGTGACTTGACATAGCATTATAGTAGGCTACAGTTATACTAGTATTACTTGTAGTAGTGTTATGAATGACTAGGCTTTCGTTTTCAAAATATTTGTTTATGCGGCTCATTGTAATAGCTATTGGAAGCTAACAGTTTAGGTCAGTGTTTACAAAGTTTTATGGAACAGCTGTACGATGCAAGTTAATTTGGTTCGAGAATTTAAGTCAAAGATTTAAAGTTTGTTCAAAAGCGTGTTAAACTTAGAGAGTGATGAGACAGAGAGAGAGAGAGAGAGAGAGAAGGAGGGAGGGAGCGGAAGTAGCAGGTACATGAGGAAACGAGAGAGATCGGGGGGGGGGGAGTTTCATTTTAGTTAAATAAATAAATGTTTTGTTACCTTTTGTGAAGTTTTCTAGCATAGTTAAAGTAACTGTGTACCTTAACTTTAAAAATAAAATATTGTTTATGCAGAAAGTACATTGGTCTGTGATGAGTTTATGACACAATTTTTACTAAATCATAAGTTCAGATCCCTGGGCAGTTGAGGCTCCTTAGCTGGGGACGGAAAACCATCCAGGACAGAAAATTAAAAAACCAAATAACTGCTGATTTCTAAATAGTGGTTCGTAAAAATAACACCATAAACGTATTTCCTTAAGAGAAGCAGGCTAAAATCGAAGTCCACGAATCTGATGGCGAATAACGTTTGACAAGTAATAGTTGATATTCGTCGAAAAAAAATACTGAGCATAATAGCGATTAACATAATGGACCAATCTCTATATTGGATCCGGCTAATGGACATCAGCGAGAAAAGTCTAAAATGTATTTGAGAGGTCCATACATTAATTTAAAAATCTTGCACGGCGTAGTTACAATTAATATGGTTATAAAATCCTGTCTGTCTGTTTTTTTCGGACTTTACTAAAGATTGGATGTATTTGATGTTTTTAATATTTTCGGTAACTAAATAAAAATTAAAAAAAAAAAAGCAAAAACAACTTGGTTTTCACGTGTAATGGCGACATAAACAATGGCATCCTGCTATTCGATAGGCCGCCATAAATTTTATTGTACACATTGTAAGCTAAAAATAGAAAAAGCAGGTCATGGTGTTTAAATTTTCATTGTTATTTAAAAACTTGATCTGCAAAGTTTTGTAAAGAAAATAACTAGGAAATGTAAAATAGAGAGCAAACCAAGTCTACAACTACGCCTCACAATCTATAGGGCTCAAAAGTTGATACAGATCTACGATTCTGATATAATACTTATATATTAAAGTTCATCAACCTAGCTGTAACGGTACTCAAGTTATCGTGTTTATATACACACACACACACACACATAGACACACAGACATACGGACAAGATTGCAAAACTATGTTTTTCCGACTCAGTGAGCCCTAAAACGTCGAGATTAGCAAAAATCTCGATTTTTTTTTCTATTACAAGACTTTCTCTATACTTCGTATAAGCGAGAAAGTAAAAAGTAGTATGCCTTTTAATGTTAAAAAATTACCAACTGAAACAGCAAAAGAGTAACGACAAGTAGATCGTGAATGTACCATATTTATGCAATTTGTAAAGCCGATGGTAAGTTTGTTTGATGGATAATTTGTTTGTTATTGTAGAGTCGCAAAAAGACAAACACGTATTTTAAGGGAATAATAAAACATCACAATTTACTTTTATTTTCCTTTAATTTAAGGAACTAATTTGCTATTGACATGTATAAAACAATGCTGCACCACTGTCTATGCATATATATATATATATATATATATATATATATATATATATATATATCTATATATATCTATATCTATATCTATATATATATATATATATATATATATATATATATATATATATATATATATATATATATATATATATATATATATAAAAGCCAGTGTGAAGTTTTACTTTCTTCAAATTCATGATGCAAAATAATTATTTTCCTACAACTATTTTAAATGACAGTAACATGACCAGTATGTGGTCTGAATCTTGAAACATTTTAGTATTAGAAATCAAAATTCAATTGATTTAAGACTAATTCGACTCATATAAGCAACATAATTTTAAAGATAATAGCAGTGTTTCTTTCAGGCATCTCTTCAAGGGATTGGCAGCATTGGCTAAGATCTCTCCCCTCCCCCGCATTTTCTACTGAAAAATGTCTAAGCCCTCTCCCTGTTGAAATAATAAAAAAAAAACTGCACGTTGATATATGGAATATATACTTGAACCAATAGCCTCAACATTTTCAAGTACACCCCCCCTCAAATATATGTCTGAAAGAAATTCTGGTTGGTAGATGGTACAACTATCCCTTAATGGGATATGCGCGGTTTGTTCTATTTTTTACAATTTAAGATCTTAAGCCTTTTGAATACTTTTATCATGTTCGGCACATGAAATTAAGTATTTAACAGAAAAAAGGGTTGAAAACAATTTTGTTTGTCATGGAAACCCAAAAAACCTCCGCCATTTTGAATTTGTCGGTACTTTAAAAAAAAATGCTAATGCATTTGTATTTATGCACCTATAGCAATTAAATATAAATTGCTTATATTTCAGTTTATATTAAAACCTTTGTCAGGACAACTTTTTAAAATAGCTACTAGTAACAATTTTACAAAATATAAAAATTCGTACCCTTATTAGTATTCAAAAGTTTCAAAATTTGCATTTTAATTACCAAATACATTTTTCTATGAAAGCCATCACAATCCCTCGGGATAAAAGTTGTATTTTAGCCAAAAGAACAATTACTGAAAAATTGGTGGGTATTGTTTAATAAATTAAAAAAAAGTAGTAGGATTTATAGTGTTAAAAACCTCCAAACAGAGAAAAACAGCCAAAAGTAACAAAAAGTAGGTCACGAAAGTACCAATATCTGTGTAAATTGCAAAACCGATGGTAAGCTTTGGGTGTTTCCGAGATGATGGAATATAGGATCATCAAATAGACGAGAAATGCAGCTTTCCAGTGATGCCAAATACAATAATATGACGGATATAAAACTTTTCATAGAGAGCTTATAGGATTGGGAAACATTGATTATTTTTTTAATTAATAGGGTCATAAAAATGGTAATTTAAACACATACAATTTTGTTTCTCTTTAAAGTTATTATTTTCTTAATTCGAAAATGGACCAAGTATCCAAAAGTACAAGAGACCCATTATTTTTTTTTTACCGCGCATATCCCCTTAACAACCGCACTAATAATTCTTCTTTCGAAGTTTCATCTCCGCGGACTGTAAAGTGGTGACACCCTGACCTAGTGAATCCCAGTGAATGCCATTCCATCGGCGTGTCTCATTCCATAGACCATTTAAGAATACACTGTAGCAGTTGCCCCACCACCAGCCTGCTTGGTAATGTTCAGTGCAAGTATTTGCACTAGGCCTGTCAATTGTGTAGAACTGCTTGTTATTCTGTGCATAAAATGAATCGCCAGTGGTTCCAGACCAGCCAGTTACAGTGAGACGGAATTTGTCGGCTTCATTTGCAATGCTGAAGGTGTGGTATTTGGCGTAGTATGATCTGTTTTGATACTTCATATCAACTCTCAGCTCATAACTGTGTTGCTATGAAGAATATATGATAGGTATCATTAATTGTAAGATCAATGAAACTATTTATTTAACAAAGCAAATTAAACAATGTTTGAACTTCATTTTTCTAACTGAAATGCGAGTAAAATAAGCAAAAATACGTAGATTTTCTTTTTAGTTTGGACATTATGCGTAAAGGTAGTGTTGCGGAATCTTTTTTCTGATTAATTTTACGTTGAAAACAGTTGGCTCGTCCAAAAACAAAACAAAGCTTGATTTGCCCACCAGATCTTTTTTTACTAACCGTAATTAGCGAGTAGATGAAATCCAATCCAATCCAAAAGTCACCAGTTAACGTGCCAAAGCCTTGTTTGTATTCTTCCCAGTTTCTTACAAAATCCACACCAGGTTTAATTCGACGCTGGTAATTTTTTATTTTAAAATTTAAAACATTAAACAATTAATAAAAAGTGACATAAAAAAGTGTTTTAAAAAGATTTCTTTCATTAATAAGGCACAGCCCTCTGTAATACAAAGCGATCTCTGCTATCATAAATAACAGTTACTCTATAACATGTACCTGGATAAGAATCCAACCACCTCCGTCAGTTTTAGTATCGCATAAGAAGTTTTTTCCCAACATTGTCATAACTTCCCGTTCTGCATAGCAACGCTTCATTGTTAATTTATCACAAACTGCCTTTAAGAAAAGGATATGGTTTTATAATCTTCATTGTTTTTAATAAATAATCTATTATGTAATAATAAATCAAAATGGAAAGAAATGAATTACTTGTAATTAATTATGCATTTTTGTTTGAAATTGATCAGCATGCATGCATTTTATAATTTTTAAACCTAAGTGGTTTAATTATATTATTATACAGAATATAAAGAAAGTGTGGTAATCGTACACAAAAATCACATGACAGTTTTCACAGTTTTACTTCTCAGTTTTTTATCATATACGGAGTATAGGGGACTTATTTTAATCGGGCAAAAATTCTAAATTCAGATTTATAAAAATTTCGCTGTTTTGTGCGTAATCGAGTCGGAAATACTGGGCTATGCAGTTCTGTCAGTATATGTGCATATGTGTATGTGTATCTGTGAACACGATAATTTGAGTACCGTAACAGTTAGGTTGATGAAATTACATATACATGCATTACATAAAATTGGTAGTTCTGTATCAACTTTTGAGCAATTTCCGGTAACCGGAAGTGGAACTTATTCGACTTTTGTTTTTTGAAAAGCTATAACTTGAGTACTGTTTAGGATAGATAGACGAAATTTAATATATAAGTAAAAGATTTAAATCCCTGCCTTCTGTCAAATTTTGAGTAATTAATAATAATCCAGACTTTTATAACCATTGTTTGCCCTTTGTTTGTTGCGCAATATTTTGTTCTAAGATATTCTATTCTATTTAAAAAATTGAAGTAATTAAAAATGGATTGAAAATCATGACTATATCCCGAGTTGCAATCCCTCGTAGTGTTATATAAGTATATTCAAGAAAGTTTAGCAGAGATCACTCCCGCTTTATTTCGCGGTGAGTTTGTTCTTTTTACTTTCTCGTATATACGAAGTATAGAGAAAGTATTGTAATCGTGCAAAAAAAAATCGAGATTTTTACAGATCTCGACGTTTTACACCTCACTGATACGGAAAAACATAATTTTGCAATCTTATCCGTGTGTGTGTGTGTGTCTGTGTGTCTGTGTGTGTGTCCGTGTGTAAACACGATAACTTGAGTACCGTTACAGCTAGGTTGATGAAATTTCATATATAAGTATTATATCAAAATCGTAGATCCGTATTAACTTTTGAGCGATTTCCGATAACCGGAAGTGGTACTTTTCCTACTTTGAATTTTTCAAAAGCCTATAACTTGAGTACTATTTCAGATAGATAAATGAAATTTCACATGTAAGTAAAAGATCTAATTCTCTACCTTCTGTTAAATTTTGAGTATTTTCCGTTGACTGGAAGTAGTAATTTACGCTACTTCCGATTTCTAAAAAAACTAATGTAAATTTTAAAAGTACTAATAATATTGCGCACTATTATGCGCTTTTTTATTGGGCGTTCACTTGGTGTGCAATTAATTTGTCTACGAGATTTTATTCTATTTTTAAAACTTTAAGTATTTAAAATGGATTAAAAATCATGTCTATAGCCCGAGTTCCCATCCCCTGTTATTTTATATAAGAATATTCGAGAAAGTTTAGGGGAGATCACTCCCGGTTTATTTCATTTATAATTGGGATTTAATCTAAAGAGTTAACCAATCTTTGCCAACAATTATTAAAGTTTTAAGTGGATAATTAAATTCCTGTAGCCCCCCCCCCCCCCCCTGACCCCCGAACTTTAAAAACGACTTTGAATAAGTTTCTTTTTGATAACTACAGTCCTTGCAAAAAAACTATTGATAGCATACAAAAATACATGTGCCTAACATCAATTATAACTCCACAAAGTACAATGCATATGAAGAACAAAAATTAAATATTAAAAATGGGAGGTGTTGATGTGTAAGTAATGCAACTAGTATTTCTTACCCGCCATCACATCTTGCTCATTAGCCAAGTTTGATTACAAACCGATTTCTGATTCACATACATTTTGTTATTATAGAAGTTTACCAAACGAAACTTATTTATACATGAAGAAGCTGGATTGTGTTAACAAAATAGAAAGTTTAACACAAGAAAAGCGTATCGTCTACAACATATCACAGTTAGAAATGCAGCCTAAAACAATGTCGAACAATGACTAAGCTCACTTTTCTACATTGATTAACGCAAGCATTAAAATACACTTTTAAATAAAGCATATATATATATACAAATATATATATATATATATATATATATATATATATATATATATATATATATATATATATATATATATATATATATATATATATATATTATATCTATAATATAAGCGGGCTGAGGTGTGTCTGTCCTTCCTTCCTTCCTTCTGTCATCGCTATAGCTTTTGAAAGCATAAAAGTAAACAACGCACCATGCTGTGCTTTTCAGTGCACCGCATTGTCTTATTATAAGTATTAGAGTAGGGTTTGTTTATATAGCGGCATAGAGCTATTTTATAATTGCCACTGTGTTTACTCTTTTGCATAACTTAAAGAAAATAATAAATACACGTACATTGCTAAAACGTATTAAAAGGATCAATGTCAAATATCATTTTCGTTTATGTTCCTAGAAAAAGTGGATACATTTTAATAACATAATAACAGTACGGTAGAAAAATCAAATTAATTTAACTCTTTTCTAATTTTGACAAAGGAGGTAATTTAAAAATACATTAAACTCACGCTAATAAAAAATGTGAATGCAAATATACGTTCGTCATAGAAGGAATTAGTGTTGCAATAATATAATTAGCAAAATGTGAATGCAAATTATTCGGATGTGTAAGAGGAAATTATAATTAGAAAATTATAATTAGCATGGATTGATAAAATGCAATCTTTATTTATTTTATTCACTGAATGTAGGCCCTACTGTTTATTACTTATAATTTTTAATCAACTATTCAGCACTATTATAGACGCGTCATCACGTTCATTAGGTGCGCAATGGTTTTAGTTATGAAACTCTATTGTAAATTTTTAAAATTTAAAGTACTGGAAAAATAAATGCGTGAATGGATAAAGTGAAATATTGTATATATTATAGATACTGCCTATTATTTATACTGTTTTCTAATTATTATTCTATCTTTCGGGTTTTATAGGAGAGGCGTAGCGAGGGGGGGGGGGGCATATGTCCCCGGGTGCCGACCTTAGGGGGCGCCAAAGTGGGTTGGAAAAAAATTGCGAGGGGGGGGGGGTGGTGGAAATCGAAAGTTTTAGGTCGGGGGGGGGGGAAGGTGTGCAAATCGAAAGTTTGAGGGGGTGCAAATCACCGGAAAGGGCGCGATTTGGCGCTACGGGCTAGACTGTGAGCAATATGCCTTTATGATTGCATTTAAATTGTGTTTATGTTATGAGTGTTGTGTTTGTTTTTTCGTTTTTTTTTTTTTTTTTTTTTTTTTTTTTTTGCGTTCGTTTGTTTTGTGTTTAGTTTTGTTCTGTTGGTACATTTAAAAAAGATTTACCGTGGCGGAGCACGGGATGCAGCTAGTATATATATAATATAAGCGGGCTGTGTCTGTCCGTCCGTCATCGCTATAGATTTTGGAACCATAAAAGTAAACTATGCACCATGCAGTGCTTTTGAGTGCACCGCAGTGTCTTATTATAAATAATAGAGTAGGGTTTGTTTACATAAGGAAATAGAGCTATTTTATAATTTCCACTGTTTGTACAATTGTGCATAACGTAAAGAGAATATTAAATACACGCACATTGCTAAAACATATTAAAAGAATCAATGCCAAATATCGTTTTCGTTAATATTCCTTGAAAAAGTGGATACATTTTAATAAAATAATAACAGTAGGTTAGAAAAATCTAATTAAATTGTTTAGTACTTTTGCCAAGGGAGGTATTTCAAAAATAAATTGAACTCACGCTAAAAATGTGAATGCAAAATCTGCAAGACGGAATAATTGTTGGAATAATATAATTAGCAAAATGTGAATGCAAATTATGCAGACGTGTAAGAGTACATTATTGTTGGAATATTATAATTAGCATTAATTGATAAAAGGCTATCTTTTATTTATTTTATTCACAGAATGTGCTGTTTACTAATTATAATTTTTAATCAACTATTCTCCATTATTATATTAAGTCATCACGTTCATTAGGTGCGCAATGGTTTTAGTCATGAAACTTTATTGTAAATTTTAAAAAGTACTGAAAAAAATGCATGAATTTATAAAGTGCAATATGGTCGGTAAAACACGGATATTCTAAACGAGAAAAATGGCCCGTTGAGGAAGGGTACAACGGGCGCTAGGCTGATAGTGCTGTCTCTTTTCTCTAAACTAAAACCAACTCACCCCCCACCCCCCCACCCCCCCACCCACCCCCCACACACCACCCCCCCCCCCACACACCGCCCCCCCCACCCCCCACACACCTGATAGTGCTGTCTCTTTTCTCTAAACTAAAACCAACCCACCCCCCCCCCCCACACACACACCCGCCCCCGAAAATTTCAAGTACCCCACCCCTCTCCGTGGAGGAAAAAGTCTAAACTAAAACCACCCCACCCCACCCAACACACAAACCACTCCACCCCACCCCACACACACCACCCCACCCCCCCCCCCCCCCACCCACCCAAAAAAAAAATTTCTACCGTCCCATTCAACGAAATATAATTATATACTTTTTCCAGTGTCCACTCCCCTCCCCGAAAATTCTACCCCCGCCACCGAAAATTTCAAGTATCCCCACCCCTCTCCAGGGAGGAAAAAGTCTAAATTAAAACCATCCCATCCCCACCCCCCACCCCACACACACACCCCACCCCCCCCCCCCCTCCCTAAAAAAAAACATGTCTACCGTCCCATTCAACGAAATATAATTATATACTTTTTCCAGTGTCCGCCCCCTCCCCGAAAATTCTACCCCCCGCCCCCGGAAATTTCAAGTACCCCCACTTCTCTCCGGGGAGGAAAAAGTCTGAAAGAAACACTGGTGTCGCGCTTAGCCACTACGCGAAGAATTGCATTAAAGAAATTGCGAGAAAAACCACTTTTTAGATTA